ACCTAAGGGACTAATAACAATGATAAGAAACCTCGATTAAGTGATCAAATAGTACTCAAGATAAAACCGATTGGCCATAAAAGAGCAATCGATTTCTTTCTGTGTATTTCTGAGTGCGGACAGATTTCTATCGGTCATTTTGCAGTGCAGCCACCAGGCTAGGAGACTTACCATCGTGATTCTATTTTCTTTGTGTAATTCAAATTGAGACAATTGGTAGGAAGCCCTGTGCCTAGATTTCATGATTATGAAAATTGCCTTCAATTTAGGTGTCCTGATGTGTGTCCTGTTGACAGGCACTTTTGGTTAAGTCGGTTGGACATTCATCGTTTCAAATCGCTTTGTAGAGTCGGTTTTTTGCTGACATCCACAGTTATTAGCTGTTACAAGGCGTCTTGGCAGGTGCGAAAAGTGCCTATATGCATCTCTTCTTATGGGACGCTGGCTTGTTACTGATGTAGTCCAAAACTTGATCTGTGTGTCACCTTCCTGTGCACTTGAGTCTGTAAGGTTCCTTCTTGTATTATACGCATAGGAACGCTTAGGAATGTGACTTCCTTGTCACTACCTCCCAGGGACTATACATAACTTTTTGGAGGAAGGGCACCTATTCTAATAAAGAGAATACTATATGATGATTGTACTTAACCAGTAAAATTTACCAAGTTATTTTGTGGAAAATAAATAGCTAAATTTATGCCAGCTATTTGTAAACCACTTTGCAGAAGTGTCTGAGACTGCTTGAAATTGGTTGGCAGTTTGGCTACACGAAGTAAAATCACAATTCTTGTTCTTCCATAGTGGGCGTGATATTTCTAATCTCAGTAAGTGCATACTTTGAGTCTCACTTATTTCACTGCAAATATTTATATTACGAAGACTGTACAAGATGAAATAAAAACGGTCAATTACTATTTCTCATTTGATCAATGACTTATTTACTTCAATGGTCATACTCTTGAATGTACTGCTCAACAGAGTCAACTTTAATATGAAATGCATTTCATCAAGATTATGTATAAAATGAGTAGTGATACTCTTATATCTAGCAACAGATGTTTTAATTGACTACTGAGTATTTACCCCCTCATTTACATTTAAATATCCTGAATTTCGTTTATGATTATTATTAAGAGACCGGCCTTTAACCTTCCTAACTTTAAGTAACTAGCTTCCTATTCGACGGAAGTATCTAAGGAAACGTAACACGTACCAAGATATATTGCTTCACAAAACTAAAGATATTTCCTTTTTTTGATAACTTACAACCAAACTGGTTTGGTTCTCATTCGACTTACACTACCAAAATACTATCTGTAAGATTGCAATTTTAGGTTTAGAATCGTGTCATAAAATGTACAGCTCGTTTGTACTCAATGCCTTTACTTCACCTCATTGTCGCTCTCTATAACTGTTCATTACTTAATGTAGTCACTCTTATATTAATTGAAAAAACGGGATAGCGAAAAGATAAAGCCTTTCATTCATCAGCTAAGTATTTTATTACCACTTTAAAGCGAATCTTCGCTTATTTAATTTAATTTGACAGATAAAATCTATTAGGTGGTTATTTGCGTTTTTAATAGCGTTGTATTGAAGTATTAAAGCTTTTGTGCTCAATAAAGCTCACGGAAAAAATATAGGTATACATATGGCCTAGGACTACAAAGGAAAGCAATGTCATTAGTTTAGTTGTCTTTTATAGACCTAACTGCACACTAACTGTGTGATGACAAAATGTAAGACCAGTTCAGGTTCCAGTACATGATTACATTACAAATGAAGTTGTGCTAAATAATTATAAAATGGTAACTGCAGCCCAGTTAAGTTGATAAGCTTATTGGAAAGTAAGACATTACCATCAATTCTCATTATTGTCAGTAGTTCCCCTGTAAAGAAAAGATTTACCAACCCTACTGCTACTAGTTAACAGAATTCAGGTGTTGTTTTTAAATAAATACATAATCTTTTCTTTTGTAAGTGATGATGAGAAAATATGTAGCAAGTCCAGCTCTCCAAATACCTTGTATAAATGTCATTTCTATGATAATAAAGCACGTAAAGAAAATGGAAAATGGCACTCGAATCTACAACTCATATCCTCCGAACGTCTACACTAAAAGCAATTTTCACATGCCGTAGACGTTTCATACATTAAAAATGCAAGGATAATGAAGGAGCCATCAAATTACTTCATATTTTGTATACTTGTTTGGAACGACCTCAATGTGACGAGAATGTAACGTTCCGGATGAACTTTCTACTACGTTTCTGGGGTATTCCTTTGTGTGTTGCTTCATTAAATTACTATGTATTTTAACGTACAAAGAAAGCAAATCACTGTTTAGAAATGTCTTCTGTGATGTAAGTCAAAATGCTATTTACATTATATTACTTTTTAGGAGTCTGAAGAAAAAAGTGGTCTTTTAAAACTGTGTTTTTTAGAGATGTTAGACCCGAAGTGACCATATTTAACTATATATGTTTACTTTTAAAAATGCCATCCAAATACCAGAAAAATTATTTTTACTAAATGTGTGAAGTGAATAAGAACAATAAGCGGTAAATACCTTTCTACATACAAATCCATTTCTGGTAAGCACTTTTATTCCAATCGACAAAATGACTGATGCATATTCGAGAAAAATGAATCCATGTAACGAAAACATTCAAATACGTGGAAGGACCCGCATATGTGAAGTACTATGAAATATTTAACCTGACCACTCACCTAATACAATAGTGACCAACGTACAAAATACATGTTTTTCTAAATCATGACTAGATCTAATATCAATGACACAAGGGGATATTTGAAAGCAAGTCTGTTGAAACTCCAGCAATACAAAAATTGAATTCGCTATTGTGTATCCAGGAGCAACTTTGATATGTGGTAAAATATCAAGATAACGAATCTGTCAAAAATCATAGAATGTATGATTATAAAAAAAGCAACTTTCAAAGTAGGAATTCACAACTAAATACCAGGAAAAAGATATGAAAATAAATCTGGTAGTTGCTTGATTTGAAATGCTGTGATAATCTCTTATCATGCTCCAGTGATAAACTGAACAGATGACTTCCACTCGGACCCCACAGTTTGTTCCTCACATTCAATTAACCACTGAAAAAACTGTAACTGAAAGGTTTGTAAAAAGTAAGCACCATACTTTGGTACATGAAATAAACCATGCCTAACTTAAAAAATTACAAGTAGGAGAACAAAACAAAACAAAACGTTTGCATACTTAAATCATATATAGTAGTACATTTGGTTACACGAATAAGTGCATGCTAAATAATTCCTAAGCACAGAAAATGAAAATTAGTGCTGGAATAAAGAAAGTAAGTAGCATTATAAATTCATATGAATATTAAATATTCTGCTGCATCACAAGCTTTGGCGTAAAATAAAGCAGAAAGTAAAACAGCACATAATATTTTTTTTCAGAGGGTAAACAATTATGTTGAGTACTGTAAGCTCGATTAGAAGATAATCTTTACGTTGAAATCTAGCATCTTTCGTAAATGGTATCAGCATTATCATAATGACTGATGTATATTGGAGATACACGCATACATGTAACAAAAATATTCACATACGTTACGTAATATGAAATTTCCACCCTATACACGTAACTCATACAATGATGATCAGCGTGCAATGTACATGTGTTTATAAATTATTATTATTATTGCACGTAACGTTTAGGCCTGAAAACGTACAATTGTGTAAACTGATATTTGAAAACAAAACATATGACTAGTGGTAACCTAGTGGACAAGCAAAATTTCATCGTGTTAGACCAGGAAAACATTCTTTTCAAAATTTAATTCTATATTACATCACATAGTTTCCATATCGAAAACGAATTAATTTATATCTTCAATTGAAATGAAAAAATTGTTGACCCGTAGTAGAGCTGATGAACATAAGCACAGGGTATCATATACTGGACGGCAACAATCGTATGTTGGTTACACGTGACAGTCTCCTTTAGAAGAGAGTACATAAACATCTACTTAATGCATACTGTGGCAAATAGAGTGAATAAATCGTCATTCTATTATCACATATTATTTTTTTATAAGGGTAGTGTAAATGTCTGAAATGTTTTGTCCAATCAAACTGGGGACTGTAATAGATTCAGAGAGTCTATTGAAAATACAGTTCACATGAAAATCGCAGACTAGCAACTTTTGGCTAAACTTTGGAAAAAATTCACAAAGTATTATTGCACGCTGGCCAACGTAAAACTGCATTGAGCCAAAAATAAGCAGACATTTAAGGAAACTTAATTTGGTAACACAAACAAGGATTTAGTCGATATCTACACATATGTTACTACATTTTGAAGAAAATCCAAACCAAAATATTTTACCGTCTAACACTAGTTGCGAGTCGGATATCAACGATTTCCTATGACAAGTGAAGAGAATTTGTACGACTGGCCACTATTATTTCAATCAGCACTGAGTTTGTCTCTAAATATCTGGCTTTAGGTACTGGAAAGAATAAGCTGAATTCCAGATCGTTTACTGGTTAATGTAACTGCATTACAAGGTAACCAAAATGAAATTAATGTCGAATTAACAGAAATTTCTACTCTGTAAAGTGTTCAGAAGAACTTTAGTACGTCAGTTTCGTTGATCACTCCACGGCTTTTAATATGCTATTTCGTGTATGATCACACAAATAAAAACAGTACCCTCGAAAAGAAAGCATTCATTTATTTAAGCAAGAAGTATACACCATGTTCAGTTTCAATAAATATCAGTTTAAAGTTATTTATTTATAAAGAAGTTGTCTGAAATTAAATAGGCAGTTATTCAGTACAATCAAGACAATAAAATGAATTGAAAGAAAAGTAAGGGCAGGATGCAATGAAATAATTTCCTTTTCATGTGCAGAAAATACATTTGCGGTAATTTAATCAATTTTTTCGGCTTTTTTGTTTATATTTCCGGTCACTTTACTCACCGAATCGGCTGTTAGCAATTTATGCAACCTAGAAAAGTAAGCAAGCATAGTTTCAAAGTAACTGATGAAGGATAAAGTATATTATTTGGGTTATAAGAATGTAAACATATTTTTTACGCGCTTAACTGTTTCAAATACTCAAGCAAGTTTACCTTATTTTTAAAAGTTAGAAAAGAAGCCCATTGAGTCATTCAAAAACATATAGTAAGTGATTAAAATCTTGTTTTTGACGAATTATTTTCATCTGCTGTACAATCATGTTTACAGTGGTAACAAAAGAAAAATTAGTCCATCATATTAAGTCAGCATAGGTCATCAGAACGGAATTTTTTAGGAGGAACTACTAAGTTGTTTCCAGAGTCAGAAAGCAATTTCATAATCACAGTGTATTTAGAGAAACTATGTAGTTGATTACGATGATGACTAACAGATTAAAAATCATAAAGTAGTTTTAGAAACTGGACAGGAATTGGTTGAAATCCTGGAAAAGATAAAACCAGTTAATCATTAATAGTGATTTGACCGATCTGGATATGATCCAATGAACTTAACCCCCCTGACTGTATACAAGAAGGACGTTCCTCTCCGTTCACTATCGGATGTGTGGTACCCCGCAGTTACTAAGAGGGTGACTGAAAATCCTCAAGGATTGATAAATCTGAATTAGTAGATATAATCCAGTGGATTCATCTGATATGTTGTTGGAGAGAACACCTGCTTACTCTCTGAAAACATCAATCTATGGAAAACTAGCTTGAAATAGACAATACACTCATTCCCAAAGTCGGGTACTACTGAGTCAAAAAAGAAAGCTAATTCATTTGCTTTGTGGAACAAGGAGAAGAATCTGAACAGAAGGAACGGGAGACGAAGAGATGGAATATTTTAAAAAAATACTTCAGAACCTCTACACCTGAAGATTCGAAGAAGAAACATGACACGAATACAGTGACCAGAGTAAGTTCTCACTGTTCCTAACATCTTACTTAGAAATAGTGATTTCAAAATGGGCAGCGCAGCAGTACTACTGAAGAGTCTGTTTCCTGGGGTAATCAAAAACATTCTATGCTGTTGAACAGCAAACCACCTTGTCCAGTTAAAAATCGATTTAAAGAGGTATTACGGCCACATTCATGTGTCTATTGGCCTACTTGCTTTTATGGGCCTGTCTATGTAAGCTGCATGAAGTGCAACCTGCTAAACACACCTCTGAGCATTATCCTCCATAGCTGCCAAAACAAAAGAGAAAGTGAAGCAATAATTCCATCCTGGACCGTTTGCTTATATCACCTCTTAACAGTCTTTTTTCAAAACCGACCACAAAATCAAGCCGAATGACTCCAAAGGAATGCGAATTTATTACTTATATAAGGCACAGGCGTAAGTAATCGGACAACTTAAGCAAGAGGTGTATGTGTAGTAAAGGCATATCAAATCTCTTATTTAACAATACTCATAATTTTCCTTTATTTGTATTCGTTGCTTCAATTACCTTTGTTGACTGATTATTTTTTTTGTCTATACCTTATGCTTGCTTTCCGACGTCTGTATGTGCTAGTTCCAGTTCCCCACCAAAATTCTCACTCTGCGAATAAGAATTATTATTAGTACTATTATTTTTAACTTATACGTCATCACTGTAATTGACTGTATAGTTTTACTGTACATCCTATGGTCATGCAATCTCTTTCTAACTTTAGAAAGGATCACACACTTCCTCTTTGAACGTTCCCTTCTGATGGACTCATTTTTACACACTACCTAGAAATTGACATGTTTGTTTATTATTGCTGCAAATATGGTTGTACAGCTTCTGAAAATAATTCGCTGGAAGGGAAATTTCCTTCACTCAATTACTTTGAGTCAAATGGAATCTTTTCTGGAACTGTGATTTATCGAGAATCGGCCTACTAAAATTGCTATTCGCACATGTTTCGAGATAAGTGAATCAATTATTTAGGAGAATATGACAGTACATGATAAGGGTGATTATGAATTACTTTCTGAACGACAGACATAGTGCAATCGCATAGTACAGCACCATATGAGCAGTAAAGAAATCTTTGAATAATTCGCCTTAGTTTTTAAGTATTTAAGTAAAACTTTTATATGAATTACAAGTGCATACAGTGAATAAACCGTTCTGCAATTACGGCAAACACTTAAGCGCATATTTACACATGACTTGTGATTTTATAAGCCATTAGGAAGAAGCAAATCAGTAAATATAATGCAGCTTTATTGCGAATGTCAGCATTACTATAAAAACACTAATGTAAGATTTATGTTCAATTTGTGATCCATATAAATATGCACGCTTTTAAAAATGTTGATGAAGTTTCCAACATCTGAGAAGAGTAATCATAAGGACTGCTGTGCATTATCGGAGGAAGTAAAAACGTGATCAGTCTTAAAACCCATAGTTATTTTCTAAATCTTGTTTAACTGGAAAGTGCCAAACTAGCATAGCGATACGTACCGAAAAGATTTTTCTGTCATCCGTTAGTTTACAGATGCTGGACCATGTGATTGGGGGTTGTGAGCTTCTTCATTCAGTGTTTTAGTATTGTATATAATTGGTCGAAAATAGTAAATTCAAATTTCATTCTTGTTTGCATTGATTAATCTTAGGGAATACTAATTCCCTTAGTCACGTACTATCATAGGTTTATCAACATACTTGAAGTATTATTTCGAAATACTATTCAAAAAGCATTTTGACTGATTGACCTTGTGTTATATTTAATCCTATTTTATAAAGTATCAGTCAAAAATAAGGTTGTATTGAACTATGTAAATTAAGTGGAATATTCAAAGCATCATACATGTCATGATTTCTGTGTGCGTTGTAGGCTGTAGCTATCATTAAGCACTTATTGGTAGGTGACTATATGTATCCCAGTAAGTTGATTCATGTCCTCGGTAATGCAGATTTATCTTATTCAGGACAAAATATAATATTCTTAATCCTATGAAATTTTAGGATCGTTTGTTGGACCATGCATGTTTCTGAAAATGCATATGAGTCTATTTAATATTTGCTTTCAATTATTACTAACATTTATCGGCAAATAATCCTTTAATATATTACTTAATTTGTTGACTTCAAGTTCCTGCCGACTGAAGAAAGTCGAAAATAGCAGAACTGTGTGGTCTTTTTCTGAAAATCCTTAGCGCTATGCAAATGTGATCTCCTACAATATCGAACGCGAGTCCAGAAATCCTATAGCTACCATCCCATCATTCAGCCTCTAACTTGTACAATACTGGTTTACATTTTTCAACCTACACCAATTCATGTTGTAGATAGAGGAAGATACTGCCGGTGAGTTACATTCTCATACACGATTTTAATGGTCAAAATGTTTGAGTCCTTCTGCAGAAGCTTTTAACAGTTCATCGTGAGATGAACGGCTACTGAGTAGTTGATGAAAACCTATTCAGTTGAAATTTTTAAGGGAAACAGTGACCCGTAGCAATTTTTATCACGTAAGTCTGTAGAATTTTAAATATATGTTTGCTATCACATATGTATATATTTTTGTTTATATAGCTACATTAATCTAGGGAACTGAAGTGTCTGGTTACAATCTAAAGTACAGGTGTTTGCATTTAACAGAAGTAAAATCCTTGCTTGTTTAAAATGCTCCACTGTTTTTTTCATTGAAAATCTGGTAAGTTGTATAGATTTATTATTAATCTGCTTGGCACTTGCTTATTCTTCTCCTGGCTAGAACTAGTCAAGTAGACAAGCAGCTACAACTATATCGTCAGTCTTTTAAAGCGATAAACTCATGTGGTAGTAATTGCGAGAAAAATCAAAGTTGTAAAACGAACTGATCCAGTGTAAAGAAATAACACCAGTAAAATTTATTTCTTTGGAAAAATAACTACTGTCAATTTACTTTGAGTGTGAAGAACGAAAAAACACATCTCAGATCCTGAAATACTATACTCGTGTTTTAATGTTGAAATCAATGGATTAAATCCCAAGACTGCACTTTTCATCGATCAGAGCTTATCAGAAATTAAAAAACACTACAAACTAATTTCGGTTAGCACAGGTGATTTGACTACCATGTAGATTACAAATTCAGCGTAATAAGCTTCTAGGCAATTGACAGCAAGCCATGAAATCAAACCTGGTGCTGACTAAACTTTATCGGGATGGTGTATCTGCAGCCAACAGTAAAATACAGTATCTTCGTACGCTAGAATCCATATTCTACACAAATCTCAGGTCGAAAATCTAACTAGTGAACAACTTAGAGCCTAAATTACCGTCTTTAGGAATGGATTAATCAAACAGGCTGATTGTACAGCCAATAAAGTTTCCTTGTGGTTACAGTGAAGCGTTACCTTGCAATGCCAACAGGCATGAAACATAAGTACAATTATTGATGACCTTACACTAAAGTACAGTCTATAGCAGCATCAAATCTCTTAGTTAAGTGGAAGCCATACTAGCTTGATCACAAGATTTCTTCAATGCTATGAATTTAGAACCAATTTTTATGCATTAATATTCATTTAAGAAGAATAAATTTGAGGAAATGCATCTGCAGATGAGTTTTAAATACCCCTTATAACTTTATGAAAATAACGAAGATTTTATTAGGACAAAGCATTGGATGAAATGACGAAATACACAGCTTGTCTATACACATTTTTACCCCGTAAATTTCAAAATTGGAACGTCTTCAGACATCTCAGTTAATCTAGCTTTAATTGCATTATCTGAGCTTATCTATGAATATTAAACTATACGCACTTTAGGATCAAGAAACCAAACATTTAGATAGACCAAATGCAAAGATGAAACTACTGCTTAACCTGTATAAATTTTTGGTCACTCCTAGGATTCAGAAACTTCTGGGTGCTGAAGAAGTTTACATCCTGTTTAAACGTTCAACTATATTTAATAAAACATTTGACTTTTAAAAGTTCATTACGCATCTGTTTATTGCCCTAAAAGATCCTTACTTAGAATGAGAGCTCATAAAATTTAATATTCAAGAATTTCTAGTCAAAAAATTTCTGTGTGCTTTCATTCTGAAAAGCACACTTCTAGAACATAAACAACAACCTAGTTAATAGCAATATCAATTTCATGAGTTTTACAGCAGTGGATAAATGGCAAATAATGCCAAAGTTTATGGACAACCTCAGTTATGTTATTTGCCTTACGTCAGAATATAATGATCTGTAACGTAAATTTCTCCTAAATATAATAAACACGGCAACCACATAGAATTTATACATAAGCATCAAAGCATTACACAGATTCTGAGTGTAGAAACGTACAAAATGATAATTTTCAAACTATTCTCAGTGAATAACATAACTTCGTGTTTTTAAAACTCGTCATTAGTTTTTCCTATCTAGGGTTTGTTATTGGAATCCTCCTTCGTGTGGAACACTTATGAAGGTGACAAAATGTTTATCATGAACACCGGAAAATTACCGTTTCTTCCTTTTTGAAATATAAATTCGATTAGAGAGGCTGCTCTGTAAAACGCTTGTTGCAGTTGAGAAGAATAAGTGCTTGTCATTTAAATTTTCTCGCCACACAGTATCACACAGAATACTAACACATACGTATATACTTGTGTCGTGATTAACTCTTAGTATACAAAATCTGCTAGTAAATTACACATCAGACAGGAAGTAAATTAACTACGCTAAAAGACTTTTCAAAGTATGGTACCGAGTGCAAAGGTGGTTGTACACCACACACCAATCTAGGCTACCATCTAGCCAAATCGATATAACTCTCAAATAAGGCATCTTTTTTGCATGTTTACAACTGAGCCTACCAGTATTAGTTACACTGTTCAGACTCAAGCTTACCCTTTGAGGAAACTGATCATGAATAGGGTTACAATAAGTTATCTGCATATATTTCAGGTTTCTAATCACGATTAACATTTAAATTGAAAAGTGGTATCTTAGTAACATTCTTTCCTTTTGAAAATTACTTTATATGAATTACTTAAGCTTTAATCACAGAACGGGATGGCTTAGGTCAGTAAAATGAGCTATTGGTAGTTATGGTAACAGTAGTAGATTCATGGATAAATATTTTACTCGAAATACGTATGGGAAGCGGAACAATGAAACGGATTAAAGATTACGTGCAGATTATTCATTCTGTGAACACGACACTATGACTATATAAAAGCCTCATGTGAACATAATATTGTTTTTAATAAGGATTAATTTTGAATGCAAAGAATATTATTTTCATCCAAACATTGTAGATGATTAAAAAAGCTTGTTATGGGAATAACCCGTGATTTTGTTTCCTCTTACTCTAAGTGAAACGCTATAATTTGTGGAAGTATTTAGAAGTCAAATGCTTCATTTATGGCCTAATTATAACTGAAGTATTACCTCTACACTCTAATGGTTGACCTGTAAGATGGTGATTGATTGACTTTTCGAGTTCTTAAGCAACTCCAACCTACAAATGATGTGGAATATGGTAAGCTACTTCTGTTGATAACTACGTATAAAGTGTAAACACTTTCGGAATAACTTAGGTGTAGGTCTGTTATACATTACCCACTTCAAGCAACTTAACCAAGATACAGAAGAAAAGGAGAAAGAGACTTTTCAGTGGCTATTCCATAGAACCAAAATCCACTCAACAACATTTCGCATATTCGTTCAGTAAGCAATATGTCACATATAATGTGTGAGAGCTAATGATACTATACTGCTTTCCAAACTTCGGTAGTGGAATGATGTTCAAACCCGTGAACCATTAGTTGAAAGTCGTCTTCCTAAACCAGTAAGCCACAGTTCGACTGTCTACTGTATACTTCAATAGGAGTATAAATTCAATACAATGTTGGTTAAATTTTAAAGTTCACGTTAATATTTGAAGAATTTCAAATACAAGTGTTAGTGGTTTTCCGTCTCTTTTCGATCAATAGAAACCCACAGAAATCTAGTTGACGTAGCAGCACTCCTAAATTTACAATTTGTAATGAAAGAATCTGATTCTAATCAGCGTGACACTGACAACAATATTTTTTTTAGTGCTTCATTTTTTAGTGGCAATTCAGATAATATCAGTTGTGCATAAAATTAAATAATCAGAAATGTATGGACAAAGGGGATGAAATAGATCCAACGAGTTCAAACAATTAACATCAATGTGTACATAAGTGTAATCAACTATCTAAGTAAACATTGACAAGTTTCGCTAACAGATAAATAACTGAGACAATATACATAAAGAAATATTACTCACATCTAATGAGTCACTGTAATCCATTGAAACAGCGATCTCTTTATCATCAATATCATCTAAGTTTGTAACCTGTATTGGATTTTTCTGTCCACACATATTATGAGTATCGAGGATATAATAATCTGGTTGATTATCACTGCTATCAGACACTGTTGAACCATTAGCATTATAACTATTGTTAGCGTTCCGTCCGAATCGTCAAGAAGTGTACCAGTATCATTTGCTGTAAGAGTCTCATATTCATCAATCGAAGAATTAACTGAGAAATGACCAAGTGACGGTGATGTCCGGACTTTTTCTCCTTATAGCGTTTACGTCGCTCCTGTCTACGTTCGGACCATGACTTCGAGAATGCATCGGTGATAGATTTGTCGTCATTTGCTTTGGTTTCTTCCATAGTTTTTCTATTTATAACCACCTTCATCTTCTCATATGTTTCTTTGCAATCTGATTCATTCAGTTTTGTGTAAGTCGTTTCTTGATAAAAAGATTATATGTAGGGAAAATATGATTAAGTTTAAACTACCAGCAGCCGAAATCACTTAAGGTAAGACCTTTTATAAATATTAAAAAGATTCTGACAAAACTAACAGCATCCAATGGGGTTAAAATTTAAACTGTGAAAACTGAATGGTTTAGACAGAATAACAGGGTTATATTTTCCAAGTGATCAAAATGATTTGAAACCGAATTTAGAATAACACGCAAACTGGGCATATTCTCGCTTGACCAGGGTTAAGCATGTTGAGAACATAATCATTTCCCTGCTTGACATATTTTTAGCGTTACGCTCGCAGCAATATATATATATATATATATATATATATATATATATATATATATGTATACGAATTCTAAACGTCTCCATATTATTTTGACTTTGCTGGTTGACATACCCTTAACTTATGTGTCCCAAAAACGCCTGAACAACTGTTCAAAACATTTCTAAGGATTCAAAGTCATGACCTCTTGTCAATGTAATTTAAGTCTGCATCAGACAAGAATGTTTTTTATTTATGTTGTAATTTTAAACTTGGTAAAAGCTTTAAAAGTCGGTAGCAGCAAATGATGTCGAATGTGCATTATGTTTTCTCAATAATGACCACGGAATATGAGGCAAATATTAAGCTTCACTTTGATGTGTCCAACGTTTTTTGAACATATTGGTGATAATTTATTGGTACATTTAGTTTCCACTGGTAATTATGAAACGGAACCAGATGATTTGTCTCTGTTCGAATATTGGAAAAACAGTTGGTTCTCATGATTTATTTAGCTCATCATACGACAATCTAGCTTTTGAAAAAGCCGGTCATGGGTTCAGCACTCATTTGGAATGCTATCATCAGTGAGGATGCGGCTCTATTTTTCCTATTTTTCCCTAATCGAACTAAGTGTGAATCCTGGACTTTAATGGCGATCACTTACTTCAAGCCAATATTATAAAGCTTATACAAATGTTAGCTTAAAGGGGTTTCTTGCTGTGATTCTCAGGTGTCAGTTGAGTTTTACCATATTCTCATCTGAATACATGACAACCATAATATCTTGTGAATGCCACTGTTTACTTTGTATCATAATAACGATGGGTATCATAGTACAACAAGTGATAAATTCAACTTTTTATGCACTGTCTTACCCGTCGGCATAAAAGTCGGAAAGGAGAAACTGAAAGTTGTCAGCTCAGTGAATCAAATGTTTCACTGCTTGAATAAGCTCAATCGGTTTAATGTTTTGGATAAACTAGACACACTCTATGGTGCTTTTTCCACTATTCGTGAGCATTCATGCAAATAATCCAGTCGTTATCATACACCTATAGACTGACTCTCTCTCTCTCTTTTAACCAGAAAGATATAAAGTAACCACTTCTTCTTCGGATAGTAATAGTTTTGAAATAGTAAACTGACAAGGTTACTTTGGTCTGCTGCTAGACTCTGTACATCACGACTCACTGTCAGAAAAATTTAATAGAATAGGAAACCGAGATTTATTATAATCTGTTTGACGACGCATTTGCCATTTGCAATATTACAAGATGTGATTTTTAGCTGTCTGGAAAGTTTGGCATGCCAACTGTAGTATTATATGTTTACGTGTGTTGTAAATGTGACATTCCCTCCGACCTGCTAGATATTTATATAAAAATGTCTATAGAAGTGACAATCAAGTTGAACAAAACGGGCCCTCACAGCTTTACCATAGTGTTATCCAGTGCTGTCCTAAATGTTTATTCCTAAAAGCGAAGTAAGGCTCTTCATTACAAACTTTGGGGGATTATTACGTACAAGAAGCATAATTTGAATCGCTCTGACCTTGGGAATAATCAGCATATTGAGGACTACGTGTTGATGTCTTTTTCCGCTGCTAGTAAATTATTGAAACCCGGTCTCCGTATGCGAAAGGAAAAAGTGGTCAAAATAGCATTGCCGAGATGACTCACTTTTGATTTCCAGGCGTTATCCACACATAATTCCATTTTTCAGATTGTGTCACTCTAATCTATAGAATAGTTGTGCTCTAATTTAATGAATGAAGTGAAGTTTTGTTTTCCAGACACCAGAAAATATGGTTAGAAAATGATGCTTCTATGCTTAGAATGTATGACTTAAATCTAATTATGGAATTCTAAGAGTGCGAGTCTCCTATAAGATAAACTTTTGAATTTTTTAATATGTGTATAACCTGAACTTCGTGCAGAATGAGACCCCTTATTCGATTTTCTTATTTGATGATGATGAAAAGACCCTAGAAGATTTGGATTCCCTGATGATGATTTATTTCTAATGTCTTGTGGCATAGACTGGAAGATCTAAAGGCGAAAACCAACAAGTTGACAAAGAGGCAGGGCAGCGAAGATGGGACTTCAAGTGACCGTAGAGAAGACAGAGGTGATGAAGTTACCCAACTAACAACAACAGCATGAACAACAACGATGACGAGCACCAATCACCAACAACAGGAGAAACCTACCTATTTAGGCAGCATCGTTTCAACTACAGGTGGCACAAGCACATATGAGGACGTCGAAACCAGCCAGGATCGGAAAGAGGGCAAGACAGGCCTTCCTTCATTAATCTGAAATCAGTGTGGAGACCTGCTGTACTACACTGCACTCAGCATAAAGCGTGAACAAGATCCGGATTTTCAACAACAATGTTAAGTCAGTACTGCCATATGGTTCAGAAACTTGTTTGGTCTATGCACTAGAAACATGATGTTTTTTGACCGGACGCTTATACAAGGAATTGGCATTTTAAATTTCATAGTCAGCCATGCTCGGTAGAGTATGTAGTCAACGTCTTACTTTGGAAATGCTGAATTCCAAGAGGTGAAATACTCGTTACTATCACGAGCACCATGCTCATCGGCTTCTATCACTAATCGGCATTTATAATCACACTGTGACAACTTTGATTTATAGGTCAAATTTGCTCTACACAGTCATACACTTTAGCCACCTACGCCTATTCGAGTAGAGAAATTAAAGTAGAATTGCCATTTTGTTGCTTATGTACTTAAACGGATTGTTTGGGCAAAAAGGTTTCAAATAAAACACGAAAGCGAAATTTAAGGAAATGCTACTGCTACTTAGTTTTGCTTATATGTTTTCACAGTAGTACTTCAGTGCCAAAAGAAAGTCATACTTCGTTTTGGCAACAGATGTTTGTTGTGCACTAGTAATATAGGATACTGTCGATATTAACTTAGTTTTCCATTCAATAAGATTGTGATGTTTCAATGAAATCTTGAAATAAACAAAAAATTATGATTTAATGAATGCATATTTATATTGAAAATTCTTGACAGATATACTCCACCAAGGTCTTATGAAAATATCAAACAGCTGTGAATATGAAGATCCAATGGTTGGGATGTTCATGGATTCTGAAGCAGAAGAGAAGACAATTCAAGAAACAGTTCCATCTCCGACTATTCAGTCAGCTCTGGTTACGTCGTCTCTCCACAGTTTTCTTTTAAAATCGTATCCAAAGTCGAGCTAAACTTCTCGAAATGAGTACTGATTTCGGGAATTATGTTAGCAAAGGCTTTGGGAATCCAGCATTCAAAGCTTGAGTTCCGAGTACAGAAGAAGTATGTCTGTTCTGTTATTTTGCCATGGTCACTAGGCTTTCTTGAATTTCTTTACTGCTTCAATATTCATCTTACTCTTACTGACCGACTTTTATTACTTTTTATTCTTGTTTTGTGGTTTACTTCCCTACATCTTAGCACGCTAGTTCCCTATCGCTCATTAGAATTTTGATGATACTTTACTCAGATTATTTATTATAATGAGAATTACTATTTTTGACCTGTTCGTTTTTAATATATTAGTCATCACTTTAATCCACTTTGATTACCCAATCCCTTTTTAACTTTAAAATCTACCCATTATTTCATCCTAAAATATTCTGTTTTCATGACCTAATGTTTATCCACTAGTCAATAGCTTGTTCATTAATACTATAAGTATGACTCTACATCTGATGAAAATGATTCGTCAAAAATAAATTTTTCTTTTTGAATTCTGAAGTAAATTAATCACTCACTTTATCACAGTTTATTTGCTAGATCCATCTAAATGTCACAGAAAAATGTACCACTGACTGTCAGCCGATTCGAACAGCTGGCAACACCAACTAAGCTTACTACTTAATACTACGAACAGTCGACCGACAGCCAGCTAATTATTCCTTCGAAAGAAACAATTTTACTACTTTTGATTATAACATGAGTAATTTTATGAAGCCAGCAAGTAAGCTTTGCATACAAAAACGATTAATATAGATATTAGATACTTTTTTAGAAAACATACATTCTAATTAGTTTCCTTGTGATTGTTTTTTGCTTCAAGTTTGGTCAACCAAATCCAATACTTATAAATTTTAGGTAGAATTATAGCATGTGTTCCTCAGGTTTCAGTACACAAAATTAAGAGTAAATTTTCACCTCAAGTTTTTTGGACTAAGTATTGATAACCACTGGTTTCAACGTCTTTTAGATGAGAGGTATATTCCTTTACTTAGACGAACGACTAAATCTCTTAATTACTGGTACCTTCAGGCTTTTCTGAGTTTCTTTCGCAAATTGAAGGATCCTCATTTTTTAAAAATTCCTGCATTTCAAATCCCAAGTAAACAGAGTATATGATTTTCGTGAGTACATGACAGTAGTGTAGGTAGAAGTCATATTTCGCTAAAGCTCAGTGTGCATCTTACGTGTGAAATTTCAGAGGCTATTAATTCATGTAATCAATAAAGTTCGACATTGTGTTAGGATATGGATCAATGTTGCATACGTCTACTTGATATTGCATACAGTGATAGAGTATTATTTACTGGATAAATTTTGAAGGACATTTTATGACCCATGTTCATATTTAAATGGTTACACAACTTCGTGACCTAGGTTTGTCAGTTCTACTACTTTAAATTCTTTAATTTAATTGGTACTGAGGTTTTTCGTTTATCTGAAATCATTATTGAATCATTCCTATCACACATGTTCACCAGTGATTCGAGGAGCAGAGATTCAGTGATCAAACTCTCTCTCTCCCCTTAACCATATCGGCGTTTAGGACCAATAGTCAACTAATATACTCAATCTACAGAGGAATTCAACTGTAGCTATGCACGCAATAGCACAAAGTCATGCAGTGTAGCTGGAGAGAATAATAGTCCTAAATATTCATCTCCGAAATACTACTTCTATTTATTGAACTAGGCAATGAAAAAGATGTTCAGCAATTTTTTAAAGCCAGAGAAATCTTAATGTAAAAGCCCATCTTAGAGGTCAGAACAATGGATCTACAAATTCGCAAGCAGACCGGAGTACTACACAGCAAATAACTGGATTCCAACTACTTTCTTTTACAGGTGAAACGAATTCAGATTAGGATCGTAATATCCACATTTGACACATGACAGCATCTCTATTAACAAAGTGATAGTGAATTTTTATTCTTCCTACTTATTACTTTCACAAATTTTCGAATACTTTTGTTATGCTTAAATATGTAGTTTTCATGGGTAATTTTGTGTCAAAAATGAAAATCCAGCGGTCATTTACGCACACAGTTTCATCAGTAATATTTCATAAGGCTAAAAACAGATTCAAAACTCTCTGATCCTACTATTTTACCTTCATCAGCTTTTGTTTACGATGTTTACGTTGATGTAATCAACTGGATTTGCGTCTACCATCTATCCTGCCAAACACAGAGGCGTTATCCATTCAATCACACATTTAAAATCCTCGTATCTGTTAACAGCATTAAAGGTATCAAAGTTCGCTTGTTTTGAATAACAGAGGTGAATTTTACTGACCTCGTGTATTTCGCTCAAAACAGTATACACAAAACACAGTCAAATAGAATTACTTGAGTCTAAATAACTAAATATAATCTACTGCACTCAGCACAAACAATAAGATCCAGATTTTCAACACCGATGTCAAGACTGCTGCCATATGGTTCAGAAACTTGGCGCGTCACGAAAGCACTTCCAACAAACTACAGACATTCATCAACAGCTGCCACCTTCGCTCACTCAATACTGAAGATCAGATCAGATTGCCAGAATACCTAACAATAAGCAACAAAGAGCTCTGGCTGGCTGGCAACGAACCAACCAAGAACCTATCACCCAGCAAATATACAGAAGAATGTGGAGATGGATTGGATTGGGCATACACTGAGTAGACCGATTGAGGAGATCACGTGTCACGCCAAGCCGTCGAGTGGAGTTCAAAGGGGAGACGACGAGTTGGGTGTTCGCGACTAGGTTGACATGGAGGAAATGGTGTGAGGAAGAAATGAAAGGTTGTTGGCAGTGGTGGAGCCAAGTTGAAAAGACTGGAGAGAAGAGAGTGGAATGGAGGAACCCAAGGGAAAAATAAATAATAATAACTAAACATAGTTAATTAAGAGTTGAATATTTTTCAATAACGTTTTGCAGAATGTAAGAAAATTCTATAGTTATCGCTTATTCGAAAATTTTACATTGAGACGATGGTCCTGAAAAACTTAACTTGCAATCAGGAATCTAATGAATACATAAGCTGTCTTTGAGTTACCTTAACAGATGCATTACCTTGTTTTTGAATCATCTTAAAGGCTGGAACACACTATGAACTTTGAGTAGTTGTAGTCGAAGACTTAGTCTCGGAATCAGACATTCTCCCATAGAGTTACCATCAGTTTACAAAAGGATCAACGGAATGAAAGTCCAACAACGATCAACATAGACTTTTGTGGAATAAAATGACCATATAACTTCTTCTAAAGAAAATTATGTATCACTGAAAGTTCCTGTTAACTTTTTTATTCAGGTTCTTATCCCAAGGTTGAAAATCCACTTATCAGTTCACCAAATACGTTTTCTTTAACGTTTCCTCAGGTTTAACCTTTGTAAACGAAGTTCTGACAAGTTGTAGTCCAAACGAAAAGTACTATTAAACAGCTATCGGGTATGAATAAATAGCTTTTCCCAGTCTTTTATGTAAAGTTTGATTAATCATCCATCAATACTTGATATTGTTTTATTGTGCAGCAGTGTAGTATATCACGGTTAAGATTGAAAGTTAGAAGAAAATAATACTTCTTAAAAACTTAAATAGGAAATTAACCTACCTTTCCAGATCTCAATAACTTCAGTATCGCTGATTTTATCCACTTCTTTGTTAACTATTTCAATTTCGTTTTTTTCACCAGTTGACTTATCAGCAGTTGAACTGGATGGTGTGGCTGTGGATTGTTGCAATGAACTAAGAATTCTCACACGTCTGGTATACCATTTCCACGCTTTTTCACTTAGGGCAAATAAAACCCGAGAAGACACAGAAATAAAGCCAACCCATATAGCCCGATGTAGAAATGAACAACGTTGTAAAGTTGCATTTGCGCTATAAAATTATTATATTGAAAGCATACATGAAGCAAATATTTCACAGAAACAAACGTGTGAGTTACTAAAATAATTTCTCAAAAGCCTCTATATTATTGATAAGTTAAATAGTTTTATAAAAGTTCGCTAAGTCGTAAAATTACTGTCTTAAAACTAGCTTTTGTGCTTAACTGAACTAATGTAACTATAACGCCGTATTGAAGTGTACGGAAACTTCAGAGAAAAGAAAAACTATTTTCTTGTGAGCAAACAATTCATTTATTCGGATGAGACAGGTGGAAAGATATCCCAGATAATAGCCTAATGTTTATCTGAACACCTGTTTTCTAGTAAAAATAACCGAAAACTGTATGATTTTTACCGGTTGGATGTTTGTTTATGGGTATGACACATAAAATTAATCTGGCTCACAACTTCGCTTAAAATATCCTAGTTCTAGGTGAAAGATAAAAAATCGTCGTTATAAATTATTCATTCTATCGTTCATAATTTTCACATTTTAAATGAAGGATATTAAATAAACCATTTGCTTCATATTATTCTTCATTATCTCATTTAAGTATACGGATCACGCATGCTAAGTAATTTGTCAGTTGTTTCAACACTACGGTTTTAGTGCCACAAACCTTTTTCAACCTCATTCTGCATGATGCTACATGCCAAGTGATTCACAATGGAAAGCTCAGTGGTGCCTTTGAAGTGAAGACAAGAGTAAGACAAAGTTGCCACCTACTATCACCCATCATTTTCCTGATTGTGGTGAATTGGATCATGCAGTAAACCGTGAGGAGCAAGAAGAGGGAGATACTCTAGCTGAACCGGGGAAAAGATCCTAGATTTGGATTTCATCGCTGATGATTTGTCTAATGTCACAGAAATTTGAAGATCTGCAGACAAAATCCAACAGGTCGACACAAGAGGCAGGGCAGAGAAGACAGGACTTCAAGTGACTGGCTGGCTGGCTGGCAACGAACCAACCAAGAACCTATCACCCAGCAAATATACAGAAGAATGTGGAGATGGATTGGATTGGGCATACACTGAGTAGACCGATTGAGGAGATCACGTGTCACGCCAAGCCGTCGAGTGGAGTTCAAAGGGGAGACGACGAGTTGGGTGTTCGCGACTAGGTTGACATGGAGGAAATGGTGTGAGGAAGAAATGAAAGGTTGTTGGCAGTGGTGGAGCCAAGTTGAAAAGACTGGAGAGAAGAGAGTGGAATGGAGGCATTCTACTGAAGCCGTATATCACACTAGGAACACAAGGACAAGTAATATTCGTAATAATCATACATTCTACGAATGGTTATTGGTTACGGAGTCTCACAAACTGAGTTCATTTATTGTCTTTTTAATACCCAAGGTAATAGACACCAGCTTTGCGTTAACTGTGACATTTATTTCTTGTTAATGGTATACTGTGTCGCATTCTGACTTCTGCTTATAATAAATCACTGCTATGTGCAAAATGGTTCATCATACACCTAAAACACCACTGATTCCACTCTCGATTCGCTAATATGTGCTTTATGCATCAGTTTGATCTCATATCAGAAAGATAAACTCAAATACTTGTTCTGTCAACGTAAACTGAGCCTTATTTTGAACCATTGTATTTTAGCTTTTGTCACTAGGCGAATACGTTGACTGGTGAGACTGTCACTCCTTTTGAAATGTCTCCATGCGCTTACCTTCTTCACTTGAATACTTTTAAATGTGCATATCTTTTGAAAAATCTGGGGTACATAATTAATCCAATCTAAATACTCTGTCGCTTTTTAATATGCAATCTGTGTATGCGCGGAAGTTTTCAAGTTAGTCCACAGGATTATACTTTACTTGCAAACTTGATCACAGAAAAGTCATATGGGAAAAAATTGGTCCTAGTTAATGAATTCACGCACGAAATCGCACGAAATAAGCATGGTATGTTGCAGACTGTTAGTCAAGTGTTTCTCGCAAAAATTTTATCTTCAATATCTTTATATGTATTCTATCAAACTTTGGACGTTTTCGCCTTTAAGACAGGTACAAAAGGTGACATTTTCTTTGGTAAACTGTTATTTCTAATTTCTTGAGAAACGAAACCCTCTGTTTTAGTTATTCAAATAAATTTTCAATTTACCGTTTTATGTCTATCTTCTGAAATTAATCATTTATTGAATTAATTGCTCGTCTTTCTCCTCGCTGTAATTTTACTGATGTATCCCATACCTTGAGGAATGTTCATTAAGACGCTGCTTCCACTTTCAAGTGTTACGCCTCACTGAGCAAAGACCCCGGTTTGGCCTTAAAAGTAGTCACGCAACAAAACTGTCGTCTACTTGGTGAACTTAGCTTGCTGGTAGTTCTGAATAAATGGAAAGGCAAATAACTTTTGACTTCGATGATATTTTCACTCAGATAACTACAGATGTGGTCAGTTACTTTTTGTTTATCAAAACCGTGTTTAGTAATTTTCTGTCTGGGCATTTTTGTTTCTTACCATTTACTTCTCTTTTTGGTTCTGAGTATTTAAGCAACTGACTAAGCTGCCTAGAGAAGTGATTTGTTTTACAAAATCAAACAACTCTTGTATCTTACTTTCTTAGGACACATAGAACTATGTATGTGTATTACTCAGTCACTAACACTGTTTCTGTACACAAGTTGTTTCGTTACTCGTATTACTGAATACATTGAATCCAGACCTGATATCTTATTACATGAGCCCTCACAACAAACAGTGCTAAACACGACGCTGCTTAGTAAATTGTTTGCTGTGACAAAATCTAGTACAGACTTAAGCCGTTCGGTATAATCCAGAACTACCATGGAGCAACTAACGAAACTACCTTTCATTGACTAAAGTTGTATGTACTACATGGTTTTACAGAAGAAATAATGTAAAATTCCAATCTGTGTAGGCATGTGTTAAGAGATACTCTTCAGCATGTTATTGGACAAAGTGACAGCAAATAAATGTATCTGAATGAAAAGAGAATAAAGGAAGTTGGAAAAACTCCAGGTTTGTAAGACAAAGCTCAGTGCCAGATGTGTTGAACCCAATTGTTTAACTGTTCTATCTGGCCCATGATAATCTGTTTCAAAGGCTGATTTTACCATGAGTGTTTCTCAATGCGTGTTCTAACTCATTTGATGATAACTGGGAGAAAGATGGATGTAATCCCTTAAAATGAACCATTGGAAAAGCTTATTAGAAATCTTAATTTCACTTATGCGACTTCCCTTCAATCAAGTAACATAAAATTACTTATCAGTAACAAGTCCAATTTCGGTCTTTTGGCAGTAAAAAGTCAATATAACTTGTAAAATACCACAAGCTTTCCTTATATAAAACATTTGCACTGAATGTGGTTTCTTGTTTAGAAGGGAAACTTTTTTCCACTTGAAGGTTTCCCTCAAAAATAACCAAAATAGTAGAATCATTGATCAATACAGCAATGGTTAAACACTTTTTCTGTTTACAGGCCTTCAAAATAACAGTTTAAATCTAAATATTTCAGGCGTACCAACACCTTTACATCGTCAAGTTGAACTACTTACATAAAGCTATAGGAAAGCTCCTAAAATACGATCATGTAATACATCATCTGTCTTAGCTAAAATTCATTCTCAGAATTAACTGATCATTTGTTGGAAATAAAATCAAACTTTACAGTGAACATAAATCTTGACTTATTTCAAACTCTACCAAAAAGTCAATCACCGAGACGTTTATGGTAAGTGACCAAATCTAAGAATTACATGATGCTCAAACTGAGCCAACATCTACCATGATGTGTCATGTAAGCCGAAATTGGGTTAATTTAGAAGAAAGTTGGTGTCTTAGCAAATTATGGCACTAGTCCATCAACTCATTTGGTGCTAATCAACAACTTTCATGAAAGTAGTGGTTGCCTGTTTGGAGTTAATGCTATGTTTAGGAACAATAATTAGATAGCCTGAGTAACAAAGCTGAAAATTGTTTATAATTGTGTAAATAGTGACTTGCAGAACTACTTAAGATTTTTAAATTTGCTTTTCTTGAGTACTTTTTTTGTATTTCAGTATAATTTATTTTCGTTCAATTACTTTCTCTTGCTTATTTGAGCGTACTGATCTTAAGTGATATACTTTGCTTTTCCTGCCAGTCTCTTACACTTTAGCTTTTCTGAACAAGAGAATGTTTAAAATTTACGGGCCTTAATTTAAAAAATTCTACTTATTGAAGCGTTTCTGTGTTTGTTGTTAATTGCCTGCTTGTAGAATCGTGGAGTGTAAATCAAAGTATACTATATTTTCCACTTTAAAAATCAATTTTTTAAAGTGAACTATGAAACACGTAGAAGACTAGCTCAATGCGATTCCATCCAAAGACTTTATTTCAAGATATTTAAACTTTGCTTGGAGAAAACTCTGAGAATGCAGTTGTAGTTCATTCTTCTAACCTAACTTCCTACATTATTCTAGTGTCGCAAAGGCACTATCAATGGTGCCACGGTCAGTATTAAAGTTTGCTATAAAAGTCTGAACTTGCTTGTAAACCCTCATGGTTTGCTTTGGTAATCATTAAAATTTATCGACAAACAAACAAGGTTTATGAAACTAACTCCCGAAATTCCATGTTCATTGCTTTATTAATTAATATTCTACCCGTTTTATAGAAATATTTGCAGGACATTATTTGCTAGTTTCGATCAAACTAGCTTCGCGTTCTACCAAATAAGCTGTGTGATTTTGTGGCTCACTCAGTAGAACATCATCCAGTCAGCCTGAGGTCCTCGGCTAGGATGTCACTGCGATCCAAGTTTTCGTTTCACGTTTAGTCATAACACTATTTCAGTCTAAAAACTTTGTTCGAGCCTGTTTCATGCATGCCACTTAATTATTATTATTCCCATTCATTAGTAAAAGTATTTGGCTAGAACAAAGTAACCGAACATACTTTCAGCAAAAACAAAGGTATAAAGGGATTTTTTCTTCAAAATATGTTAGCAAATTGTCTGCTCCACATGGC